GGGCATGAATAGCTGGTTGGTCTAGGCTTCAGGTTCTCTCTTTTGATTTAATATTGGAGTGGCCTAATTGCTTTTGTCTTCAGGAGTTCCCACAGAGGCCCAAGTGAGATGAAGCTCAGATGACATCAGGCTTTCTCCTGAGGTATCGGTCCCTCCAGGAAAGATGCTGCCCTCAGGAATTTGGGGGCTGGGCTGGCCTGGGAGAAGGGCCCAGGATAGATGCTGGTCTCAGGAAGCTGGTGGCTGTGTCACCCAGGGAAGTAAAGGGAGGTGAGGGTGGGACCAGGCCTAGAGGGTTCCTGGGGGCCCACAGAAAGGAAAGGGTTGGTCCTGATGCAAAGGATCAGGAAGCAGTGGCAGCTTTGCATTAAGAGGTTAGCCCTGGTGTCTGGGGTGCCAAGACAAGAAATGAGCCTGTATCCAGCCTAGGAGGAGAGACTCAGCAGGGTAGCTGGGAGGGTGAAAGAGGCTGGGGAAGTCTAGACACGCTGGGCGCACTGGACTTACCCAGGGAAGGTGCTGGGACCAGGACATGGGAGGTTGTGCAGCCCAGAAAGTAAAGGGATATGAGGGCGGGACCTGGTCCAGAGGGCTCCTGAGGACCAGGGAAGGTGTTGGCACCAGGCCACCCAGAGGCTGTGCAGCCCAGGGCAGTAAAGGGAGCAATATTTTTTTTCATATCATCACAACCACAATCATACCTATATCATTTAATTTTTTTAATCTTTGAAATTTCTTTGACTAGCCTGTCAATGAAATACTTAAAATAATACAAGATCTATGCAAAGTAGATTTATATGAGTTATATATTCCCCATTCTAGTTTATTTCAATAAGAGAGGTGTATTTTTCCCAAAATATGGTATCTTCAAAAATCATACTAAAGACACATACATCTTAAAGAATATATATATATGCCAGCCTGCGAGAAAGAGAATATTACTGTTATAACTGGTTTTACTTATCTAATAAATTTATAAATGCTTATAGGAGTGGCTCCCACCTTTTAGAAACTCTAAAATGTCATAATGAAGTAAACTAGGTATTTCCAAGACATGGGCTGGAATATAGAATTTTTGTCCGATTGTTTGTTTTTCTGTGGAGTGAGTAAGGGATCGTGGGAAGGGGATGAGGCAATAAGTCCGTATCCCATTCACAATGTGCTCCCTTTCTGTGCTAAACTGTTGTGCTTGGTCTGGAAACAAACATCTTCCAGGTGTATCCTTGACTACCATCAAATCTAGCCTATCTAGATCTCAGGTTTTGCTCAGGCTGGTGGCTTGTCCCTCTATTTGTCAAACCTACCTGGGTGCTTAATGCCCATCAAGGTTGCTAAGTATTGGCTTACCACAAGGGTGCTGTGACCTACATTAAAAACAAATTGTAAACATTACATTATACACATTATAGCCTGTAATAGGCTTATATAAAAGCACAGTTACTACAGAGGGGTGTTTCTTGCTCTCACTGTACCTTCAGTGCCTGGAATGATGCTTGGCACATAGAGTGGCTCAGTTAAGATTTATTCATAAGAGAATTATTGACTGAACAACTCTTGATCTGGATCAAACTTGGAGAATCTACTTCTTTTTACCTCTAAGATCTTGAGGTGGACCATGCATGCATCACGTTGGGTTTCCTATGATCTTATTGCAGTGCCAAGACTGAATTTTACTGACAAATCTTCCATTTTTCTCTTCAACTTAATTAGACGAACATATGGAATCTTGAGGGTCTTGTGAGTCTCCCAGGCTCAGTCCACAATTCCTGCCAGGTGACGTCTTCCAGTTCTTTGACTTTCAACCTACAGGGTGAATGTTTCCTCTTGGTTGTTCATGAGGTCACAAATGTGCCCATGAATCCTAGGAAGCAAAACAGGATGGCCAGGTGGCATTATACAAATCTGCCACATTTTATGGTCATGTGTCCACAAATAATTTTATAACAAAGTCTGGAAAACTCTCATATAGTTAGAAACAAATTTTACTTGGGGTCAAGTTTTCTATCCTATGTGTCTGAGAGAGAGATAATTTGGCTTAAGACTCAACTTTTTTGCTGTGTTGTGGATGCTACTCAAATGATTCTCACACTTTGCTGTGATAAATAGCCTACCCGAATCTGTGCACCCAAAGCCCGATAAACGGTGACTTCCACTTCTATGTCTGTCTTCAAAATGTCTTATTTGATGCAGGCTGTGCATGTCAGAGGTGTGGTATCTATCTGGTCTCATAGACCATTTCAATATCTTTTTGTCCTTAAAATCTGAGGAACTTGATGGCCATGAAGGCTGAAAAGTAAACATTTGGAATTTGTGAAGATTGACTCTTACCAAGAGCTTTAAAACGTTTTAATTCTGTGAATTCACACATTGCACAGATCTGGCTTTAGTTTAAGCTCTGTTATGGATTCTAACATTATTCTCATGGAAAGATGTACACAAAAACCGTTTGAAGCACTTTTTGGTGTAAAATTCACAATAGTGTGCAATTGTTGCTGTTTTTGTGATTTTTCCTCATCACCAAAGGAAATTCTGTGCCCATCAAATAGTCTCCATCCCTTTCCCAAAGTCTGGAAATGTTGCTTATTTTCTGTCTTTCTGAATTTAGCTGCTATAGGTGCCTCATATTAAGTGGAATAATATTTATTCCTATACATTTGGCACAGTTTTTATAGTCTAAATCAAGTAGTTGCTTAAACATTTATTATAAACCTGAAAATAAATCTCAGCTTCTGTTTATAACAATAGACAGCTTATATAAATGGACCCAATTAACAGTGATTCCGAATCACTTAGCTTTGTAAATGTATTTGGGATATTATCTAGTTATTTAATATGCATGCAATGCCTGTGAAGGCCAGAAGAGGGCATCAGATCCCCTGGAACTGGAGTTACAGATGGTGGTTTTTAGCTGCCATGTGGGTGCTGGGACTCCAACCAGGTCCTGTGCAGGAGTGGCCACCACCAAGCCATCTCTCCAGCCCCATAGTGACCACTTTTGTTCAGTGTGAAATGTCACTGAGGGCTCACAAGAAAAGTGATGGTTAAATATGAGATGACGTAGCATGGTCAGTTGACTGATTCAGTTCTGTGTAAAGTCTGGGATAGCACCGTCCTTCTCCAGTGGACACTGAATCCGTAACTTCCATGGGTTGGAAGCTTAGCGATAAAGAGTTCAAAGGGCAGTGCTGGACAAATGGAGTTGGGCTGAAGGAAAAAGTAATCCAGGAGGAATTCTATTCCTTGGCCTGTGCTTGGTGGTTGTGCCTATGTAAAGTCTTGGTGGGTTAGAATAACTGTGGCAATTATGCTGCCATATCTGAGACAATAACAGTGCCCACCTCACGGGACTGGAGAGATGGTTCAGTGTTAAAACCAAGTTAAAAGAGGGCCCAGGTCAGTTCCCAGCACCCACACAGCAGCTAGCAACCATCCATACCTCCAGGTCCAGGGGATGGCCCTCTCTTCTGGCTTCCATCGGCATTGCACAGTATGGGGTGTACTTTTACATATATAAAACTAATTATAGAATTAAAGAGAGTATCCATCTCAAAGGATTGTTGGGAAGATTGGTTGAGAAATAATGTTAGATAATTAGAATAATTCTTTTTAAAAAATATTTTATTTTCATTTTTATTTATGTGTATGTGTCTGCATGAGTGAGTGTAATGTGTGTACAGGTGCCGGGATGGCCAGAAGAGAGTCAGGTCCCCTGCAGCTGTAGCTGTAGTGTACAGCTACAGTGCGCATGCTGGAACTGAACTTGGATCCTTTGGGAGAGCAGCAAAAGCATTCAACTACTAACCCATCTCTCCAGTCCCCATTTTGAATTTTAATTTTTCTAGTTTTTCATTCATACTGAGTATTAAATAAATATCTGATTTTATGATGATACTTATAAAGTCAGGACCTTTATTATATTCACTTTTTCTTCTCATTTCTTTTGTAAGACACTTTTTAAAAATCAAACCCCACTTTTCCCTGGCCTGTTTAGTATTAACTCTTTTTTTTCTTTTGAGACAGGGTCTCCCTGTAGCCCCAGCTGGCCTGGAACTCACTATGTAGACCAGGCTGGCCTGGAACTCACAGAGATCCATCTGCCTTTGTCTGCCAAGTGCTGGGATTAAAAGCTTGCCTCACCACACCCAGCCTTAGTATTAACTCTTATTGATGCATCTCAGGTGTTTGCTGAGGAAATTGTGTTAGCAGTTATCTTGTAACCTTCCTTTACTCCCACGGTCTCTCAGCTACTTGGCTGCTAGTGTTTTGTTCCATTGACTCCTCATTCCCTGCCTCTTTGTTGAGGCTCATGGGTCATCTTTTAAAAGTTTAATAGTAGGGCTGGAGAGATAACTCAGTGGTTAAGAGCACTGACTGCTCTTGCAGAGGAACCGGGTTTGAGTCCCAGCACCCACATGGCGGCTAACAACTGTTGGTAGTCCAATGCCCTCTTCCACATATGCAGGCAATACACTCTTATACATAAAATGAAAATAATAAAATATGATTTTAAAAGTCTAATAGTAATCTTCACCTTTTAACAGAATCTGGGCACCAGTTAGAGCAGTTCCCACACCATGTTACCGGGAAGCCTGGTACATAGACTTGGAGTCCAAACCAGGGCCCCTCCTCTTCCCCCACAACAGCATCTTCCTGCAGCCCCCACAGGGCTGGCTGTTCCTCTGGTCTAGAGGCAGCATCTGCTCCCCATGCTGAGTAGCGCTGACTGGAGGAGCTGAGAGGAGAGCCAGTGAAGCAAGAGAACACACAACGGTGTTGAGAAACAAGCACTTTACTTTTCATAGAGACAGGCACAGGATGATAACTGACCAGTTATCAAGTTTTCACATGCTGTGGCCACCTGGAGAACAGGCAGGAGGAGCCACCATGGAGCTCAGAGCTCCCGTGGGGAAGGGGATTGGGATACTGGGAAAGAACATGGCAGGGTGGGAACAGTCCTTGGACTTGTTTCCTTTAAATTTGCTTTTCCATCTGTGCTGCTGAGGTCAGCAGCAGCCCCCAGAGCTGTGGCCACAGCCAGAGGACCCGGACTGCTGACCACTGCCACGGTCACAGGAACTGGAGCTCCGGCGCCTGCATCGGTGGGACCTGCGCCTGTGGTGGCTCAGGCAGCAGCCGCCCTCAGAGCCGCCAAGGCCACTGCAGCCCCCAGAGCTTGTAGCACAGCAGGAGGAGGCTGCAGGCAGACACTGTGCTGTGCTCTTCGGGGGGCACTTGGGTGAGGGGCACTTGGGAGGCGGCTGGCACTGCTTCTGGCTCTGCTGGCAGGACATCTCGGCAGGAGTCAATGAGCCTGGACAATCAAAGAAAATGACAGTGCAAAGCTCTAGATGTCCTGTAGGAATGGTTTATAAAGCCCTTGGTCCTAAGACCAGCTGCTCCCTGAGCTGTGATCTTCCGGAAAGAAAAAGGTAAGTGGTCTCCATGACCCGGAAGGCATTTCCTTCCACTCTGCCCTGCTTCCAGGGGAGAATGCTGGTTCTAACTAGGCCCCAAGTCCATTAAGCCAACACAGGTAGTTGGAAAAGGACTCCTGGAGAATTCTCTGGCCATATGCTGATCTCTCAGAAGAGTGGAGAGACTGCTGAGAGCCAGGACTCTGTCACAGACTCTGGCGCATCTCTCGGAGGCTCCTGTCTCTGCCTCCCACCGGGTCGGTCTCCTGTCCCCTGGCAGGTCCTCCTTCTGCTGCCTCCCCCTCAGTCACCTCTGCTTCAGTCTCCACAGGGAGGTCTGGGCCTGACTTCCCCCCACACTCCCAGCTGAGGCTGTCTCCTGCTGCACACTTACCTGCTGCAGGAGAGGCAGAGGGAGGGCTGTGCCTGGGAGGCTGTGGGTAAGGAGCTCAGGGCAGGAGCCCTTTTATCCTTGCAGGATTGTGATGCACAGCTGAAGCATGCTGCTGTTTTCACAACCAGGGGAGGTGACCCAACAAAACACTCCCACCCCAGAATCTTCCTCATGTTTCCAAGATTCCTGAGGAGAGAACCAAGCAATCTTTGTCACTGCTCTCCTGGTGCGCTGTGAACCAGGTGTTTCTTCTTTCACTTATTCAGCTCATATGCTTTACTTTGTCTGTTCTTTGTGTCTTTGCTGGACAGCATGAATGAAGACTGATCAATGGATCTGTCTATCATCATCTATCATCTATCTCTCATCTCTCATCTATCTATCTATCTATCATCTACCATTTATCATCATCTATCTATCATCTATCTATCAATCTATCACCATCTGTCTATCTCTATAGAGATATAGAGATAGAGATATATATGACATATTCCTTGACTTTGACCATTTCAAGGTTCACGGGAGACACAGAGAAGTGAGCATAAATGTGTGTTACTGTGTGATTTTTTTTTATAAGATGTAAATGTCTCCAAAAAACATTTATGGATGATTTGCTCAGATGTGATTGGTTCCCAAGTCTGATGTTGAGCCATCAGACTTCTGGACCTTGGGAATGGAATGTATTAGCTGGTGGATGAAGGATGGGACCCAGGCCCCTTGTGAAGCAGAGCTAAAGACTAGGTAGGAAATGGATGAGCAGGCAAAGGTATAAAGACCGTACAACAGCTGATCTCACAACACCCCAATGTCACATGAAAAAGTTTGTCCATATTTACCTTCCTGAGAAATGTTTGATATTGATGATAAGAAAATAAATTATCCAGGAGTGTGGAATATGAAATATAATTGATACGAGTTCTGATGATTTTTTCAATGTGCTACTAAAGACCAGCCTGATGATGGTGGAAAATTTTGTACATTACAATTAATGACACAATCCTGAGAATTTCTAAAGTTTATGTGATTGCTTTTATTTTTATTTTTAAAAAATATTTTATTTATTATTTTTATTTAATGTGTATGAGTATACTGCCTGCATGTATGTAAGTGCACTCTGGAACTTGATTTAGATATAGTTGGAACTCCAACCCGGGTCCTCTTCAAGAGCAGTCAGTGCTTTTAACTGCTGAGTCATCTCTTCAGCCCCATTTGATTGTTTTTTAAGAAAGTATTTTTATTGAGATTTTGTGCATTTTATATAAGAGATCTTAATCAGGTTTAGACCCCCTCCCCGCAACTGCACCCCTTATGCCTCCTCACCAGATTTCATGCATTCTGTCCTATATGTTAAGTCCTATCTGGTCGAGCATTTGTAACCAGCTGTCCCTTAGAGTAAGTTCATCCACTAGAGAGTCTAGCCAGCCTATCTAGAGTCAATTCCTTAAAGAAGATCTACTTTCCCTCACCCTGCAGTAATCAGTTGCCAATAGTTCATTGGCTGGGGTTGAGACTTGCTGCCCATTTCCCCAGTTCTAGGCTGGGTTTTTGTCTGATTGAATCTACATGGGTCTTGTGCATGCTGTCATCATTGTTGCAAGTTCACATGAGCAAGTTTCCAGAAACTTCAAAACCTCTGTTTCCTTATGTTCATGTACCCACCCTGATTCTTTTTGCCCCCTCTTCTGAAGTGGTCTCTGAGCCATGCCATGGGTGGGTGAGGTTTAAAATAGGAGTCCTATCCAGGGACACGCACTCTGCAGTTTCTTATTCTCTAAAACTTGGCCAGTTGTGGTCTTCTGAAAGCATCACACTCTGTTATATGAGGAAGCTTTGCTGGTGAGAGTTTTCAACAGAAAAAAAAAAAAGTTTGCAGTGAATTGGGCAGTGTTTCAAGAACTTCCTCCCTGGGGAGATATAAACAACATGAGGTCCTCATAAGGTCCAAATCATAAACTGAAGTATAATTCCATCAAAGTTGGTCCTGGGGAACCAATGAGTTTATTGGACTTACTTAAATAGCATGGCCGAGGGGTTGCTTACAGGAGTGTGAGAGACCCCAAAGCTGCCACCTTGGAAAGTTTTTGCCTGATATGTTGATGGCTTTCCCACAGTACATAGAAGGAGTTACCCTTAGTTAGCCCTCCCCAGCCCATATACTCTTGCAACTCCCCAAACTCTGAGGTCTTGTGCAATCACGGCATAACTTCATACAAATGACTGTGAAGAGCAGCTGGACTCTCAGGTGAGGGCTCAGTGACCCTTCATATCCACTTCTCCGAGGGAATGCCAACAGCCAACGGGCCAGCTAGTGATGGTCTCTTTGGTCTCTTGTAAACAGGCACAACTGATCTGATGAAGATGGTGGCTGCTTTGCGCAAAGACTCCCATTATACAACAGGCAGTAACGTGTACTGCCTGCCTGTTTAGGATGATGTTTATGAAATAGGAATCCTGTTTTTCTATTTGACTTTACTGTAAGATGAATTTGTCATTGCATTCATCTACTATTATAATATTTTACTATTTGCTCTAAAAAATTACCACCAGAATTATAATAGAACATTGCTTGTATTAAAACTAAAAAAACCTGATTCTAGCCACTCCAACAGCTATCAAAGTGCCTGAAAACAAATCCTGAGCCTATCACTCTCGAGTCCAGCCTTCACAGACAAAAGAAAAATGAGGAGGCACCCAATAGAGGGATACTTTTGGAACCCCTCATCAAGAAATCCTAATGGACCCTGATATGAACATTTGAAATTTGCTCTGTTCTGACTTTTTTCTGGTTCCCTGTCTAGAACTTGAATGTTAACTACTCTTGCCTTTACTTCTCCTTCACATCTCCTATTCACCAGTCAAGGATTTTCTTTTCTCCCTACAGATAAGAGTTATACAATTTGGGAGTCTTTTAGATAGACCCTCTGAAGGGGTACCCCAATTGCCTCACCCTGCATCCCTGTTCATCATGGAAGAAGCCAAAGCTGTCTGCGTCCCTATTCCCTATCGGCAATTTGGGTAACCTCTTCAGAGGATGGTGTGATAAGAATAGGAGGTAGGAATTGGCTAGGCAGTTAGGGCAAAAAGACCCCAAAGAAAAGTAGCCAGTTTCTTGGCTAAAAGTCCAAATGTCCTTGGGCCTCTTAGCAACATACTCTGTTCCAAGGCCAAAAATGTCAAAGTATTTGGGAGCTCTTGTCTAATCCCAAAAAGGATTTTAAGGTTACCTCTTCAGAGAGGGGAATGTTAGAGTAGAAAAAGAAAGAAAGAAAGAAAGAAAGAAAGAAAGAAAAAAGAAAGAAAGAAAAAGAAAGAAAGTACATGAAGTTGTCAGATAAAAGTGATGGGGAGATAATGGGAGGTGTTGGAGAGGAGGGAGTGGGCGTGGATTTGATCAAAACACTTTATATGCATCTATGAAATTCTCAATAAAGTTTTTAAAATTAAAAAAAAAACACTAAAAAAATAATCCTATCATTTAGGGAACTAGAGAGATGGCTCAGCAGTTAAGAACACTGGCTGCTCTTGTAGAAGACCCAGGTTTGATTCCCAGCACTGACGTGGTTGCTAAGAACTGTCTTGTGACCTTGGCAGCCACCACATGACATGAGTGCACTTACATATGTGCAGGCAATATGCTCATACATGTGATAATAAAAAAGTAAAAACCCCTATAATTTACTAGTTTTTAAAAATATTTTATTTATTATTTTTATGTGTATGAGTGTATTGCCTGCATGTATGTGAGTGCACCCGTGTCATGCAATGCTGCGGAGGCCAGAAGAGGGCGTTTGATTCCCCTGGAACTGGAGTTAAGGGAGGTTCATAGCTGCCATGTGGGTTCTGGGAATTGAACCCGGGTCCTCTGCAAGAGCAGTCAGTGCTCTTAACCGCTGAGCCATCGCTCCAATCCCCATTTACTAGTTTCTATTGGTATGTATTGGTTGTATGTGGTTTTCATAGATGTTCTCCTACGAGCATCTACCGTAGTTTGACTATGTTTCTCCCTTCACCTTTTTCCTGTCTTTTCCTGCTCCGCTCCTGCTAGTCCGTTGCTCCCTTAACTGTTTCTCTTCTACTTTCACCTCACATGACTTTATGTGTGTATGTAGAATCTAGGCACCACACGTGAGAGGAAACATATGATATTTATCTTTCTGAGACTTTAATTCATTTAATATAATAATTTCCAGTTGCATCCATTCCATGATAGTTTCTAAGTGAAATACTGTGGTGAATGTCTGATTGTTCTCTGTATATTATAACTTCTGGCTCTTTGAAAGAAAATTCCTTATAATGATATGCACTTTATCCTATTTAAAATATGGAGATTTCATGATTTATTTTGACATAGCCACAGAACAATGAATTGCACTTGGTCTTAAGGAACGTGGCATGGGATGGAAGAAGGTGGAAGGATTAGAGTAGGCGGTATGCTCTTCCGATAATCTTCCAACTTCGGGAATCTCTTACTTCAAGAATATTTTCAAACTTAGATCATGAACAATGCTGGGGTGCCCATTTCTTTCAAATTGTTTAGGATGCTCTCAGTTGCTAGTGCACTGAAAGAGATTATTCATCACTCACTAAGGGTGAAATTGGTACCTTTGTATATCAGCCAGCGGTGAGGCTGAAGAGAGATTTAAAATGTTGAAAACACACACAAATCTCTGTACCCTATTGTGCTGGTGATGGTAGGCCAAGAGAATATGAAATGTGGCGAAAGTCTATCTAATAAAGGTGTGTTTCTGGAAAATTCTCGACCCTTTAAAGGACCTATACTTTTCCCTGGTTTGTGACTCCAGCTGGAGGCACCTCCTCTGTTTTTCTTCAGAGGTCTCCAATATTTGCCCTTAACCACCCCCCTCAAATGCTACCACTAGTAACCGTCCTCAATGAAATTCCTTCTGTTTCATTAGTAAACTTCTATTGTGAATCATCAATATCCCCCACTCAAGGAGCACCAGGAACAACCTGTGGTAGAATAAAGTACTGTTGATTGGCTCGTTGCAGTGATGGAGATAGTACATTCTCTGGGAACAAGAGATGTTTGCTTTA